AATTGGGGTATGTGGGAATTGGGGAATGTGGGAATTGGTGAGTTTGGGAATTGGAAAAAGTGGGAATTGGAGAATGTAAGAATTGGGAAATGTAGAAATTGGGGAATGTGGGAATTTGGAAATGTGAAAAAATTAAAAATTAAAGAATACAAGAATCTAAGAATCTAAAACTCCAAAATATTGTAAAACCAAAAACCAAATATCTGCTCAATCAGACGTTCTAAAATTTCATAATTCAAGAATGTAGTAATTCGAACATAATTTGAAAAGTTTTCTCAAAATACATAAACTCTCAAATCTCACCCATGTTTTGATATTCAACACAATACTCTGTGGCTTGTTCCCTATTCAGAAAGTTGGTAACGCACAGCCATTGAAGTATCGACTATTGAACAATATTCAAAGAGAATTGAATTGACGCTGGTATTCAGAAACTGTGACAAACAGGTGAAAGAATTGTGAACAAATAGTTTCTTTTCGTTGGAATGATCCATCTCTAATTTATAACTACTATGTATATTTATTCTTTTCATTCTAGTGAAAAGACGTTTGTTCACTTTCTTTTTTTTCTAATGAAAAGACTATGTAACAGAAATAGCATATATCTTCACGTGTAAAGAAATTCTTTTGTCAGTAAACAAAAACATTAATGCGACAGTTTTGAGATTTTTAAGGCACTGCAATTTTTTTCTAAATTGTAAAAAATTAAATTGTACCACTTGTTTTTTTTTTATAGATATAATGTATAATTAAAATGTTACGATAACTACAGTTAATATATTGTATCTTTTATGATTATTCAGCAAAAAGATGGGAAACTTAAATTAAATACATGAAAGTATACTTAAATTACAAATTAAATAGTACACCTATAACTGATCAACATGTAGAAGGTAACTATTAATGAATAAGTAGTTTTAAAAAAATAAAAAGTGGCTAAAAAATTTGTTTTTTAATTTTATTTCCTAAACTTTCAAATTGTTCTGAAGCACTTCTTCAGTGAAAATTTTTCAGTTCGAACTTTGAAAGTATTTTTCTCACCCCATATACCAACTTCTTAGAGGGTGAAAACTAGAAAAAGAAAAGATTGAAGCCACCTTAAATAAACAATAGTCTTTAAACCAAACATCACATTAGTTTTGTCTTTTCTTAAACAACCAACAAATTTTTTTTGACGAAACATAAAAACATATATTTTTCTACATCTTTTGTATTTTAACATTTAACACATATGCACAGCTGTTGCAAACAATGAAACAACTCAAGTCGATCACAATATACGAACAATTAATACAACGTGTTGCGCATGTGAATTCAGAGCAGCGAAGGCCGCAATTTCATATGGAAAACCAACGAACGCCCGATGAATATTTTATTAATGAATAAGATCATTACGGTGACACATATTCGAAGCGTTCACATAGAAAAACTCTTCATGACGAATCATGCGTATCGCAATGCATTATCATTAACACATTGACTACAGCGAGGGTCATCGATGACTCGAATATTTTCTAGCGTTTCTAAACATTGTTCTCTTTTTTTTTTTATAAGAAACACGCGAGGTTTTCTTAAGAAAAATAGCGGTGCGGAGGCTCGAGACGCCTCCATTCAAGTGCAAACGTTTACTTGGGAAAATTTTATTATTCGAACGCGGAAATTATATTATGCAATATAAGTGCGTGTGGTAACTCGAGAATTATAGTGATGGGAATTTTTTTTTATCGACATTGCGGAAGTTGGAAAATGTGAAAGTTACAGGATTTTGGGATTTCAAGGTCTTGAAAAGTGTCCAAGGATTTTAATTCGAAAATTTCCAAAATTTGAACAAATTTCTTGTTCTCAAATTCTCTCATATTGTCCAGTTGCCACGTTGTCCAAATCCCACACTTCCCAAATTCCCATATTACCAAATTATTACGTTTCCAAATTCTCACATTCCCCAATTTTCACATTTCCCAATTTCCACATTTCCCAATTTACACATTCCCCAATTCCCACATTCCCCAATTTCCACGTTCCCAATTTCCACTCTCCCCAATTCCCACATCTCCCAATTCCAAAATTCCTCAATTCCCACATACCCCAATTTCCACATTCCCCAATTCCCACATTCCCCAATTCCCACATTTCCCTATTCCACATTCCCCAAATCCCACATTCCCCAATTCCCATATTTCCCAATTCTCAAACACACCAATTCCCACATCTCAAAATTCCCAAATACCCAAATACCCAAATCCCCTCATTCCCCAATTCACAAACTCACCAATTTCCACATTCCCCAAATCCCACATTCCCCAATTCCCATATTTCCCAATTCTCAAACACACCAATTCCCACATCTCAAAATTCCCAAATACCCAAATACCCAAATTCCCTCATTCCCCAATTCACAAACTCACCAATTCCCTCATTCTCCGTTTCCCAAATCCCCAAATCCTCAAATTTCCTAATTCCCAAATCCCCAAATCCCCAAATCCTCAAATTTCCTAATTCCCAAATCCCCAAATCCCCAAATCCTCAAATTTCCTAATTCCCAAATCCCCAAATCCCCAAATCCTCAAATTTCCTAATTCCCAAATCCCCAAATCCCCAAATCCTCAAATTTCCTAATTCCCAAATCCCCAAATCCCCAAATCCTCAAATTTCCTAATTCCCAAATCCCCAAATCCCCAAATCCTCAAATTTCCTAATTCCCAAATCCCCAAATCCCAAAGTTCAACTATTCAAAATTCCAAACTACCCAAAATTAAAAACTTCTAAACTTCCAACAAACTCCCCCAATTTTTTCTGAATTGTACAACAATAACTCATTGTCAGCAAAATCAGATGAATTATACAACTGCCTATTACATCTGCGTGACATAAACAATACATAACTGTAAGCCTCACTATTATTGTACAACTGTTTAGTTATATAATAATAATAACAATGATCATCATCCTAACCCTCTAACCATAATCCTAATCATAGTTCTATTCTTCCCAAATCTTGTTCTTGTATTTTAACATAAAATAATATTATTCCATATTCAATGTCTGGAATGATACCTAAATCAAGCATCACAATCGGGAAATTACAATTACCAAGGTATTGTTCGTAGAGTCCCTGTCGGTCATGGTATTTTCACCGTCACTTTTGCCTCACTTCCGTTGTCCTCAATATTCTTCGGGTCCCACAATTCTTTCAAATGCCTTTCTTTTTGTTGTTAACAATGTACGTTGGCGGTATGCTAAGAAGATAAGGTAATACCTATAGAAACTCATTCTATGTATGACTCACATGGTGCGACATGTGGTTACTCAGATCTACTTACTACGGACACAACTGGTGTGTCATGCTACCAAAGTTTCATTAGCAATAGGTACTTGAATATTTAGCAAAGTAATAACGTGCTACCGAGTAAAATAAACCAGAGTGTTTCAAATTTTGTATTTACATGTATTAATTTTAAAATTTATTCATTGAAAAATTTTTTAAATTTGTTAATTTAAAATTGAAGTAAAATTTATTCATTTAAAATTGAAGTAAAATTTGTTAATTTAAAATTGAAGTAAAATTTGTTAATTTAAAATTGAAGTAAAATTTATTAATTTAAAATTGAAGTAAAATTAATTATTGCAACTGACTACATTTCAAAATGCTAAAATAGAAAAATATTTCCTCATGATGTTATAAAAATAATTCTTATGATTTGAATAAAATGGTACATGGTCAGAATAAGTACAAAAAACAGGAATCAGTACAAATAAAAAATAAAAGAGTAAAACATTGAAGAGATTAAAAGAGAAATGAATAGAGAGGTAAAAAGTAAAATACGTTTTAAACGTGATGAACGTTTTTGTTACAGGTTTCAGTTTCATGTCTAAGCACGTCATTAGCAGAAGCTGAGAAAAGTGGTTGGAGTTTCGAGCCGAATACCCAGTACCATCTTCAAACAGACGAAGGACCTGAAAGGTATTTTCGTTTTCAAACACTGAATGGTCAATACAGAAAGGAGAAACGATTGGTCGATGGTACAGTGATTGGTACAGAGGGTTGGTTAGATCCTCTGGGGTATTTACGTCTTAAGGACTACATAGCTGATCATAATGGCTTTCGGATATTGAGGTGAATAATAGTGCTGTTATATAAAAAATACATTTCTTATGCTAGTTTTAAGTAATACTAATTATGAATATAATTATCAAATTAATAATACTAATTGTAAGTATAAAGAGAATTATTAATTTGATAATATTAACACATTTAAAATTGAAGTAAAATTTGTTAATTTAAAATTGAAGTAAAATTTGTTAATTTAAAATTGAAGTAAAATTTGTTAATTTAAAATTGAAGTAAAATTTGTTAATTTAAAATTGAAGTAAAATTTGTTAATTTAAAATTGAAGTAAAATTTGTTAATTTAAAATTGAAGTAAAATTTGTTAATTTAAAATTGAAGTAAAATTTGTTAATTTAAAATTGAAGTAAAATTTGTTAATTTAAAATTGAAGTAAAATTTGTTAATTTAAAATTGAAGTAAAATTTATTAATTTAAAATTGAAGTAAAATTAATTATTGCAACTGACTACATTTCAAAATGCTAAAATAGAAAAATATTTCCTCATGATGTTATAAAAATAATTCTTATGATTTGAATAAAATGGTACATGGTCAGAATAAGTACAAAAAACAGGAATCAGTACAAATAAAAAATAAAAGAGTAAAACATTGAAGAGATTAAAAGAGAAATGAATAGAGAGGTAAAAAGTAAAATACGTTTTAAACGTGATGAACGTTTTTGTTACAGGTTTCAGTTTCATGTCTAAGCACGTCATTAGCAGAAGCTGAGAAAAGTGGTTGGAGTTTCGAGCCGAATACCCAGTACCATCTTCAAACAGACGAAGGACCTGAAAGGTATTTTCGTTTTCAAACACTGAATGGTCAATACAGAAAGGAGAAACGATTGGTCGATGGTACAGTGATTGGTACAGAGGGTTGGTTAGATCCTCTGGGGTATTTACGTCTTAAGGACTACATAGCTGATCATAATGGCTTTCGGATATTGAGGTGAATAATAGTGCTGTTATATAAAAAATACATTTCTTATGCTAGTTTTAAGTAATACTAATTATGAATATAATTATCAAATTAATAATACTAATTGTAAGTATAAAGAGAATTATTAATTTGATAATACTAAGTATAAATATAATTATTAATTTGATAATACTAAATATAAATATAATTATTAATTTTATAATACTTAATATAAATATAATGATCAATTTTATAATACTTAATATAAATATAATTATTAATTTTATAATACTTAATATAAATACAATGATCAATTTAATAGTACTAATTACAAAACTTAATAATAAATATAAGTTTAATAGTATCAAAAGTTACATTTGCAATAATCAGAATACATATCAGTATATGCACCTTAAGCTTAAGATATTATATGAACACAAAATGCAGTTTAAAATAATATTATTTTTAACTAGGTCAAAAATGGTGTACGTAGGTACAAATAGACCTATTAACTATGCTGTGAAGGAAGCCAAATCAGCACCTGCCCAAAATGGAATTCTTGTACAACCAACGCGACCACCGAATCCTTTCAGGTATTGCAATCAAACTATTCCAAATTTCTAAAAACAATTAAAAAGTTTAATATTGACAATTTTTAAATTAGAAAATTTGTTATTACAAATTAGAAGAGTAAATGTGTCTAAATTCGAGAATTAATCTTTTCTCTGAGATGTTCTGAAAAAAGAAGTAAGAACTGGAGGAAATAAACGTTCGGAAAGTAACCAGTGTGAAAGCATTTATTTGCGACAATAATGACCGGCTAACAGCGAACAATCGTTGCAAATGTGCATCTGTGGCGTGACAAAACTGTGAAAGCATTCATTTACTTTAATGTTCTCTATTTATAGTGCATTTTCTGCCTGTCACTGAAAGTGAGCGCTTCGAAACGTGTTACGCTACAAATGTGATGATTACAAGGCAATTTTATAATAGAAAACCCCATGAAAATTAGAATTTTTTAGTATTAATAACTACAATTATAATTTTAATACAATCTTATTACATACGTCATATGCTACACATATCTATACAATATTTTTGCTGCCATCTTGGCTGATAGTTTCAATATTAAATACCATAAATACTATTATTTTACTTAATGATCATTTCTTTCAGGCAATCGGACACGAATTACGCTCGCCCTCTACTGGGCAACGAAATTAACTCGAATTATTACGTGAGTTCAACGATAAAACCACGAGTGGACCTTTCAGCTCCGAACGACGACTATTACTACAACCCGAACCCAACGATTCCACCCAGATCTCGAAATCTGTTATTACCGCCATCTACTTCGCACAGCAGCACAAGAGTACCACCGTACGATGGAACCCACACAGTTGCTAACGGGTTTCAGTACTATCTCAAAAAGCAGTATCACGAAGAAGAAAAAGACTCTTCCGGAGCCAATATCGGCTCCTTCGGCTATGTCGATCCTTTCGGTATCAGAAGAGTAATTTATTATAAGACGGGCCCACGAGATAATGGTTTCCTTTACGAACAGAATAACAAATACGTGGGACTCGAAGGAACACCGTACGATCCTTCCTTAGCTAATTTATATGGACAAAAATTGAGAACATCTACATAATAGATTTCGCAAAATTGATATAACTTGTTGCATTTTATGTAGGTATAATAGAGAAAAAAAGTAATGAATGTAACAAGTATTTCGAATGTCGAGGCATCTGTTTTTAAGGTATATTTATGGGCATTTGGGGCAATTTTTCAAAATAATGTGATAACATGGGTTTAGGAGTAAGACATTTAATAAGATTCAAGGTTTTGTATGGAATGAATAGAAACGTAACTGCCATAGTAGCTTGTGACTTCCATGTTTTAGTTTTGTGTTTGTTAAATTGACTTCAGTTTAGTTATAAGTTACCTTTAGTACTATTATGAATATTAATATGATTAACAATTTTGACTTGTTTATAAATATTTAATTTTTACTGTATATTTATATGAAGTTTGAATGGTACATGTACTTATTTGATTACCTACTCTTTGATTATTATTAATTACCCACGTTTTTTGTATACTTAATATTTACACTGTATATAGATTCTTTTATTTGGGTATGAAAATAATTCTTGTTTAAACTTTCTGCCAAATTACAAGCTAAGCAATAAATGCTATGAAATTTTTACATAAGACTATTTCTATAAAATACAATCTTAGTTATTGTCAAGGGTAATTTAGACATTTTAGTGAGGCAATTTACAAAGTGCATACAGTGGTTTGATAAAGTATTGGCACATGAAGTTTCATTGCAATAATGGATTGAAATATTGTTATAATATAATAATAGTATCTTAATAAACAGATTAATGTAATGTGGTATATAAGAAATATAAAATATATCTGCTATCAAATAAATTCCAAACAGAATGTGCCAATATTTTATTAAATGATTATATGTACTTCTATAGTCATCAATTGATTTTACAATTGTCTTCAGTCCCAGAACCTAATTCTTCCTTAAAATACTACACTAAATACTCTCCCTTCACATGTTTTATATCCATAATTATACAGTAGATATTTGTTTTTGTTTTTGTAACACTCTAAACACTTTTTCACATCTTTACAATAATAAAATAATTAGGAATGACCAGGTAATGATATGCATTACATTACTTTGATTGGTTGCCCTAATGCCCTTTGCTGAAATAGAGTTTCAAAGTTCCTCAAGCTTTGAAGCTTTATTTGAACTTGACGAAGAGAGATCATAAGATTTCTCCAAACATCAAATATTGGGTGCCATGCTAAGTCAGTTTATTATTTATAACGAATATGTAATGTTTAAGCTTTGAACGATTTTAGAAACCCCTTGTGGAAAAATAAATCATCAATAAACCATGTAAAAGTTAGCAAGTTTAGAGAAATGTGAATATACTGTTCAGATCTTTGGATGCAACAATTCTGACATTATTAAACTTTTAGGTCAAGTCTGTAAATTGTGAAAACTGCAAATCCTCAAATTTCCTAATTTCTTAATTGCTTAAATTCTAATTTCCTAAATTCCTAAATTCAGGAAACAGAACTGCAATTTTCATAACAATAGAAAATAAAAATTTAGTTCCAATCATAAATATCTAACTTGTTAAGATTGTTAATTAAGATTGTTATTTTAAAATCCAACATAACTATTAACACACTTTACAAAAAAAATACAAGTTTGTAATGTCATTTATTAAAAATATTTACATAATTAAATTGTGCATACAATATGTTAAAATAATCTTAATTCAACAACTTAAACATTTCATCTCAAACGTCCTACGTATCGAATACATTATAATCAACAGAGTTATCATCTTAAAGGTATCGTTTTCTCTTTGTTTCACTTTCAAAACTTTTTGTCATAATTATCTCGTCGATCAATCTGTTGGCTTAAGGGTTGCTGTAGTTTTTGAGCTGCTTCGCGTGCGTCAGCTTCCTGCAAAAATAAATTTTGAATTAATAAAGGAATTTCTTTTATTTTTAAATTGACTATTATTTATAATTACATTATTTATTAATTGTAAAATAATAAAAAAATTATTGCTTTAACATTAAATTAATTAGAATTAATAATAAGAATTTAAAAAATAAGAAATATGAAAACTGTCATCCTTTTATTTATTAAATAATGCTTTTTTTAAATCATTAATATTTGTTATTTTGTAACAATATATTATAATTGTCAACATATATTAACAATACAATATATTGTTATTTTAATAACAAATTTGATATGAGATTGACTTTTGATATTTTATATCAATATAGATAGTTTCGACTCGATAAAAGATATTGATTGACTTTTACGGCCTTGCCATTACCCCAAGGCATAAAAATAGACAAAAACAAAATACCAGAGCACGGAAAAGAAAGAGTTGCGTAGGCGATAAAAAGTGACAGGAGAAAGGAAGAATCAGAAAGCGAAATAAAAATAAAAAAAAAAGAAAAAGTAGTGTGGGATGTACCTCCTGCTGACGAATGCCCGCAAAGATGAGGTCGAGGCCTTTCTGTATCTCTTCGCTGACTGGCGGTGGCGTGGGAATGTGATCACCGGTCGCGTGAAAGCCAGTTTCATCGGCCGTATAATGAATGGTGATCAGTTTCCCTTCTGGACTCGTATAGGAGAAGCTTCCTTCTTGAACCAGAGCCTCTCCTTGCTCTTCTCCTTCGCCTACTTTCTTGATATAACCGCTCTCCTCCGCGATGATGTTGTTTCCCGTTTCGTAACTGTGAAATAATATACGGATTTGTCAGATCTTTTCTAAAGATGAGATCGAACACGGTTCGATCCGAGGTACTTTGAACTTTACGGTGCTGTTCATTCAGAAATACTTTTATGGCGGTTATAGGTTGTCGTATGAATATTGGTTGGAACTTTTAGCGATTTCCTTTTGCTGCAAGTCCCTATTTATATGTTTTCTAATTTTGTAATTTTTAATTGTTTAATTATTAAGTTTGCAAATTTTCTGATACCTAAATATCAAATTCCAAAATTCTAAAACCTTGATTCCTTCAAACTTTAAGTCCCTGAAAACCTAAATTCTAAAAATTCAAAAATACCAAGAAATCCAAAAAATCTAAAATATCTAAAAAATCCTAAAATTCTAAATTTCTAAAAACTCCAAAACCTTTAAATCCTTAACTTGCTAAATCCCTAAATCACCAAATCAGCGAATCTCCAAATTTTTAAATCCCTAAATCAGCGAATCAGCAAATCTCCAAATTTTGAAATCCCTAAATCATCAAATCCTCAAATCTCCAAATTTTTGAATCCCTAAATCACCAAACCAGCAAATCTCCAAATTTTTAAATCCCTAAATCACCAAACCAGCAAATCTCCAAATTTTTAAATCCTTAAATCACCAAACCAGCAAATCTCCAAATTTTTAAATCCCTAAATCAGCAAATAAGCAAATCCCCAAATTTCTAAATCCTTAAATCTCCAAACCCTCAAATCCCTAATTCTTCAAATTCCCAAATACCCAAATCCCAAATTACAAAATAAAAAATTTCTAAATACAGAACACAGCTAATTCTAAATTCCAAATAAATCTAATTATGATTCTATCAGTGTTATATTTTCGTCTGAAAGCAAAATCGTAAATCTTCTAAGAATAAATGAAAGCGACACACATAGCGGGATGAGCAAGATATGAATCATCGTATCAATCATCTCGCTATAGAAAATTATGCATACCATGTATGCAAATTTGATAGTGATGCAATAAATATTTCCTAGTGTGCGTCCCAAATTCAGTTTAATCTTCAAACGTTTCTAAACACCTTATCGCGTTGTGCAACCTATTCTTTCATGAAGCATCAAACCCAGCCATTATGCAACCTATTGGTTGCAACATTTTTGAATATGTTTTCTGAGATTTCATCCGATATACCAATAGCGATAAATGAAAGATGGTTACGTTGTCTGGTCTCAAGGACCCTAATCGCTTTGATGATTGATACACCCCTTTATACAGCATATTTATCATAATCTGGTGAAAAAGTATTTTTAACAAAACTCAGTTAACATTCAGTCAACTATGAGTAACATTATTTAAAATTTGATAAAAAGTGAAAAACCTTAATTTTTCCAAATGATATAATGTTTATAGTTACAATTGGCTTATTGATATTAGAACGTGTTTGACGATAAATCATATCGTATATGAAAAATAATTTAAGATGCAATATAAGATGCATTTATAAGATACAATTAGTAAAAAATATATTGGTGGATTAGGAAGAAACCTAATCATTTTTAACATTTATATAAAATATTCATTGTAACTTACTGACAAGTGAAAAAATAAATTTCATACTATTTTTAACATAACTCCATTAATATTTAACTTATTCCAAAATATCCAAAATTCCAAATTATCTAAAATTCCATAAAAAATAAAAAACCGTAATTTTTGTTAAAATAACATATTGTTTCTAATGCTTGATTTTAAAACTAGTTTAACAGTAAACTATATACATGAAACGTGAAATAAAATTTCTAAAAGAGTTTGAAGATGAGGAAAATGTTTGCAGTGCTTTCTCTGATGTGTCAAAGTGCTTAGTTAGCATAATGGTTAACACGGTATTGGATTTCGTACCTCGTTTTGTAGGTTCCATCGTGTTCCTGTTGTTTGTTCCAATGTAAAATTGGAATAGGTGTGGTGATCGATGAGGCTTTTCTGTCATCTGGAGCTGGGGGATTTTGTCTGTCTTCGCGGTAATTGTTACCAGAGTGGTAGTTTGGGTCCTGTGCTATCGCTAGTCCTACCAGTGTGATTAACACCTAACATAACAAAATTCTATTTATTATTTTTCATGGTATTTTTGATACATAATTGTATTCGTTATTTTTAAGATATTTTTGGTGAAAATATTTGAATGTAATTTTGTATACTTAATATTTACTATTTTTGTATTACTACATTATTAAATTCTTTTTACAACTGTAATAAATATATAATAGAACTATAATAAATGTATAAATATATAATGCAATTATAATAAATTTTTAAATAGATAATACAAGTATAATAAATATAGAAATATATAATGCAAGTATAATAAATATATAAATATATAATAAAATTATAATAAATATATAAATGTACAATTCAACTATAATACTATTATTTAAAGTATTATTTTTAAACTGTTCAGAGTATACATTATCAGTATATGAAAAGATATTTCGATCAATTTAATCCGAATTAATAGTAATTACTAGAAGCTTGTTAAAATTGAATTTTAATAGAGATGAGTCTTATTATAGACAGCATTTACCGACCTAACGTTAGGAAGATCAGTGAAAGTAAGATGCCAACGCGGGTCATTTAACTCTTGACCTATGAAGAAGAGTCTGCGGACGAGTTTACTACTTTATATACAGATCCTATCCTACTATTTTTTTATTACATATTTCTACTTATTCTACGACTCAGTTACGCAATTTCTTCAATTTCTAAATTGTTTAATTCTTACCAAGCAGAAAAATTAATAGTAATAAAATAATAACTATAAATAAATATTTTTCATTTATACAATTTTACAGTGTTACATATATACAATATTTTAAAAAAAATTACAAAGAAATGTAAATATAAAAGAGTCGACATTCTTGAAATTATGTTCTTGACATTACTTTGAAATATTTTATTGTGAAATAATAAAATAATGAACAAATTTATTTATTTATGTATAGCTAAATATTAAATTTTGTTAATATATCTTTGTTATTATCCAAGTAATATATTGGAAGAATAATTGTTTCAATAAATAGAATATTTGAAAAATATGTTATTATATGAATATGTAATATGTAAATACTTAAATAAATGTTATTTAGAATAACTGTGTCTTAATTCATAACCAATGTTACTTTTATAGATACATAATGTTACGTTATTTTAATAAATTACTTAAAAATTGTATATTTTAATTTTATTTTAAATAATGTATGTTCGAGTCTAGTACATTAATTACAACTCAAAAAAATATCAAATAAAATTGTTACTACAAAAAAATATGAAATAACAAGATAATCATAAAACTATTACATAAAGAAGTACTTAATTTAATTAATTAATACTTTTCATAAATATGTACCAATATCTTTTTAAGCCTTTAAGAAAATAGATTATCTGCTTCTATTATTGTTTACCATTTTAATGAATTATTTTAAAGAAAATCTTTTGCAAAATTTTAAAACAGTGTCCATACATTATTTACTTATAATAACTATAAAGAACAGTTACACTATTTGTACCAATAATAAAATATATATTAAACGTCATTTACATTACAAAAAGGTGTAAAATTAATATTAAACCTTAATCAACTATCACTCAAATGTGCCATATGTAATAAAATTTTGTCATGATTTCTGCAATTACAAATTTTAGTTTCTTAATTTTAATTTTCTTCATGTAGAGTACTTTTCTATTGTTAAAACTCTACATATAAATAGAGTTATACTATTAGCAAATTTACTATTATTACTCCTTACTATAATTAGCAAATACTTATATCACATATTTACTTTTGTTCATAATAAAAATCTTGAAAACAACATACTGTCAACAATTAATAATTAAACCATGACTCAGAAACAAATATGAAAAATAACGAGTTACTAACTGAAATAAGGTGAAATCAGAAGACACTATGGTAATCGACGATTAAATATTGACTTTTCACTAATATCGTATTTCTATCTTAAGCTAAGAAATGTAAATGACTACTCACGACAGCTTTCATTTCGACAAAAAACACTTTTGAATCGGTAAGAAGATGGCAATTGAATTCGATCGTTTGTGACCTCAAGGAAGTAAAGGATTCTCCTTTTATACTCTCACCTTATCCCCACTTGAACCGACTGATGGATCTCGAAAGATACGTCGCCCAGTTTATAACAATGGTCCTTGTAAATACGGCATTTGATGCACATATATGGAACCATTCAACGTTGTTTCGAATATTTATTTTACGTAAATTTGGTCGTGTGTGGACATAATGTACTGGAGAAATTGTTTTGGGCCTTTGGGAAATTGTGAGGGAACCAGGAGAAGTTGATTTAGGGGTATAGAGTCTTAGGATTTTGGGATTTTTGAAAATTTGGAATTTGGGAATTTGGGATTTTTGGAAGAGTTGGAATATCGGAAATTTTGGAATAGTTGGAATATTGGAATTTTTGGAATATTGGAATTTTTGGAAGATTGGAATTTTTGGAATATTGGAATTTTTGGAAGATTGGAATTTTTGGGAGATTGGAATTTTTGGAATAGTTAGAATATTGGAATTTTTGGGAGATTGGAATTTTTGGAATAGTTGGAATTTTTGGAAGATTGGAATTTTTGGAAGGTTGAAATTTTTGGGAGATTGAAATTTTTGGAAGATTGGAATTTTTGGAAGATTGGAATTTTTGGGAGATTGGAATTTTTGGAAGATTGGAATTTTTGGAATATTGGAATTTTTGGAATATTGGAATAGTTGGAATATTGGAATTTTTGGAAGATTGGAATTTTTGAGAGATTGGAATTTTTGGGAGATTGGAATTTTTGAGAGATTTGAATTTTTGGAATATTGCAATTTCATAATTTGGGATTTTGGAGTTTCTGCAATATTGGCACTTCGTAATTTGGAATTTTCGAATGTTAGAACTTTGAAATTTTAGGAACTGAAAATTGTGAAATTAACAAATTTGTGAATAAAGCATCTTTGAACTGTAGCACTATAAAAATGTTTAATATAGTGGAACTTTGGAATTTTTATACATTGAAATTTTAGAAAAGTGAAATTTTTAAATAGAAACTTTAAAGTTTGTCTATTAACATTTTATTGTCCACCACAATTTCAAAATACAATTTCAAGCTATGATTATATAAGACACCCTGTACAACAATTTTATTTTGTTTCTGTTTTATCATCCCATTTATAATTTTGATCAGTGAGGTTAGAAAAATTTTATTTTTTTAATCCCAATGAAAAAACTGGTGTTTTAATGATCCATTGGCATCATGCAGATTGCTTCTCCTCCTCCGTAAGTAATCATATTAAATACTACTTAATTTACAACGATAATGTTAATAATCTTACATATGCAGGCCTACGTGCAAACCACAGCAATCAATTATCGACGACAGGAAAAAACTTAACGTAAGTTAATATATTTACTAATTACATATACTAATATAATATTTTATTTACTTTTTTTATTATTTTTTTATTTTTGAACTTTGCTGTTATTTGAAAGCCAAAGGTCAACCTTCTCCATTTTTATTTTTACACTCTTCTAACGAGTACGTGTAATTAATTTTTCCCCCAATTACACACGCTGGTTGTACATTCTTGTTAGAAGAATAAGAATTACATATATTACGAGTATGTACCGGAAGTGAGACGTTCTCCCAGAATAGATTATAAGTTAATGAAGAGAAAGAGTACAGGATCAAATTGTTTTAGTTTCTGCATTCTATGTTGTTAAATTTCGCGCGAATATAAAATGAACTATATTAAAGTATAATAAGTAACTTAAATATACGTTTAATATGTTAAGTATAATATATGATTTTTAAGACTGCAATTACGTTTCTATATTCAATCACAAATTTTCATTTTATGGAAAGAAGCAATTTTTTTGTAAAATAATCAGTTGACTACAAACTTTATTCTAATTCCCCAATTTTTGTAATTATATATGTAAAATGTAAATATATTAATTACTGACGTTAAGATCAGTAATAGATGTTATTGCAAATCCCCTAATGAAGTATTAATTTCATATAATGTATCTTTCAAGACATTTCACGATGAAAACTGTTGTTGCTGCTGTTGCACCTGCCCATCAATATGCTACGTAAGTACAAAATTCTTTAAAACTATTTTAATTACTGCATTACATTATAAATTATTCCAGAAATACATACAACCGGAAGTACCAAAATCCTTCGCCCCGATACGCGTAAGTTTATGTACAAATTACAAGTTCATAATAAAATTCGTATATAAATTTCTTTTTTAACTTTCTAATTTTATATGAACTATAATTTCGCCAAAATTGTATTAGTGTTATTGGAAATCGAATATACCAATGGACGATAACACCACATACCGGCTTTCCTATTGGGAAGGTCCGAGTACAATTACGGAGCCTATTCCTCCTCGAGATTGTTTGGTCACCGGAGACTGCGAAATGGCGCACGACACAACGTACAAGGTGAAAAATATTTAAAACGATCTCGCATATCAATTATTACTAATTTCTCATTCAAATGAAATAAACGATTTCTTGATCGTTAGATTTTAACAGAAGTCCATTACCTTAATAAATTTATGTATTATTCTGTATTAGTGTATTAGCATTAATCTCAAAATTATCTGAATTTGTAAATTTATGAATCTGAAACTTGACCAATAAGAAAACTTTATCCAGAAAAGTATATCCACTAAAAACTTGTAACCGGCAATATAACGAGAGTCCGCCACATATCTTACATGTGGCAAAATTTTCTTAATTTGTAAATTTATGAATCTGGAACTTGACCAATAAGAAAACTTTACCCAGAAAAGTATATCCACTAAAAACTTGTATCCGGCAATATAACAAGAGTCTGCCACATATCTTACATGTGGCAAAATTTTCTTAATTTGTAAATTTATGAATCTGAGACTTGACCAATAAAAAAACTTTACCAAGAAAAATATATCCACTAAAAATTTGTATCCGGCAATATAACGAGAGTCTGCCACATATCTTACATGTGATAAAATTTTCTGAATTTGTAAATTTATAAATATGAAACTTGACCAATAAGAAAATTGTACCAAGAAAAATATATCCACTAAAAATTTGTAACCAATATAACGAGAGATCAGACATTCCAATGGATGCAGAAACTATCATGCGATTAAGTTACCAGCCTGTAGGACCATCGTATGAAACAGAAAAGTCATATAACATATCTTGCAGGTATCATACTAAATTTCGTTAGAATCTACATATGTGTACTACTATTTCAGTCTAGTTACCTAGATTACAAGTGCGTGGAACCTGTAACTAGTATTATACCATGCGAGAAACAATGGCTCGGTAGAGGTCCAATGCAAGATGTTACCACTCAAAAACACGATTACACGTGGAAGAGCATAAAAACGAGACAAGCTTATAAAGCGTTGGATAATATATTTTGTCACCCGGCTCCATTGCGCGGTAAAAATGAATTTGGAGCTCAAGTTTTTAACAATAGTTAATTTTAACAATCGTATATAAATGATATATTGTTTTGTAGATGATACAACGTATAAGCTTAGCTACTACGAAACGTGTTGTCGTACGCCTGCTGAGTCTTTTGCGCCTATTCGAAGGTACATCAAGTCAGACATTCCACTGGAGAACGAAACCATCTACAAACTTAGTTATTGGCCACATGATCCTACTGGAATAAAAGTAAGCGTAGTGAGAGGTCGGTTGGGAAAACTGAATGGAGAGAAGTGGGACATAGGACGAAATGAATGAAATTAAACAATTTCTAAATGTGTAGATAGTTGAGGATGGGAATAAGAGTTGTTAGTTGGGGTTTCGAATTTGCAAATTTGGGAATTTGGGAAGGTAGAGAAATTCGGAAATAAAGTTAGTAATCTGAAGAGGTGATAAAATAAGAAATTAAAAATTGCTAATGTAAGTATTTAAATTTGCTAATTTAAAAATTGGTAATCTAAAAATTTGGGGAGTTAGTAATTTGAGAATTTGAAGAGGTAATAAATGAATTCAAAAATTTGCTAATGTAGAAATTTAACAAATTGGTAATCTAAAAATTTGAAGAGTGAGTAATCTGAGAGTTTGAAGAGGTGGTAACATATGAAATTAAAAATTTGCTAATGTAAAAATTGGTAATCTAAAAATTTGAAGAGTGAGTAATCTGAGAATTTGAAGAGGTGACATATGAATTTAAAAATCAGCTAACAAAGGACTTTAAAAAATTGGTAATCTAAAAATTTGAGAAGTTAGAGTTTATCATATAAAATATATTCCAGGATGAGCCATGGAGTAAAAAGCAAGAGTACACACCGCCTACCGAACCATTAGAAGGATGTACAACGTATAAACTAAGTTACTATCCGCACTCACAGGAAAAACCCTCTCTAATTATCCCTCCTCCAACCGAAAATATTTTAAATGCCGGATGCTGCAGTGATAAAAACACAACTTATCGTCTTAGTTACTTCGGAGCACAAGATGGTAGACGAGATCCGATAGTACCATCTGGGAATATTACTTTTTCTACTTGTCCACCTGCTTATGATACCATTAACAAAGTAAGATGGCAAATTTGTACTATATCTTTAAGTACTATATTTAAGAATAACTGTGCTTAAGAATATAGTTATACTATATTTAAGAATAAAGTAATATCTGATAGTGGTAGTAGTGTGATGGAAGTAGTGTCTCACGAGATTACATTAATTAATACAACTTCTGTACATATTTTAAACAAGTACATTTATTTTAGATGAGCTTCTTAGGTAACTGGAATGTGAAACCAGAAGAACCAATTACACCTTGCAGTAAGCAAATGTTAGGCAGAGGGTTGATGCAGGATGTAACTACACAGAAACATGATTTCACGTGGAAACGAATAGAAGTCGAACCTGGTGTTCGTCCTAGAGATAATTTAATCCCTGCATGTGCACCTGTGGAATGTACGTAATATTTACTATATTTTTTACAAAACAAGCCAACAATATTTAAAAACATAAATTGCTATGTACAAGATGTTCCCTATTCTTCTTTAATTTCCCTCATTCTTCTTAAAGTTTTTGCATTACGATGAAAAAATATTAAATTGTTTTCGAAACTCAATTTAAAAAAAATTAAAAAGTAACTGTTTCTATGATTCAATATATTATGCTATATTATTGTAGTTTGCTGTATAATTCAGTAATATTTTTGAATGGTCTAGTAAATCATGAACGAATAAGTTTCCGTCTGCTCTAGGTCTATTCATGACATTTGTATCATTCAGCATGTATCTCAAGCAGATTTATTCGTCACAGGTTGCACTACTCACAGAATGTCCTATATACCAACCGACTGTAAATCACCCGTAGAGTCGTATGCGCCCATACGTGTATATGCACCATCAGACATTCCAATGGATGCAGAAACTATCATGCGATTAAGTTACCAGCCTGTAGGACCATCGTATCAAACAGAAAAGTCATATAGCAAAACCTGCGTTTATCAGCCTCCTAATACTCCCATTGATGACCATACCACATACAATTTGAGGTTTCTATATTTTTATCGAATTAACTACTCACAACTACTTATGTTAAATTAAATTCTTAAATGACGTTTCAATCACAGTACGAAAAATATTAGAGAAGGGTATATCATTGATTAAACTTATCGTCATTTTGAAATGATAGACCAAAGAATATATTATACTATTTAGTATATATTTTTATAATTTTAGTATACAGAACATTTCTTTTTCAGTTACATTCCACCTGGTATGCTGGCTCCTTGTTGCATGGAGAAACCGAAGGTAACTTCAGAATCTATTAACACAATTACAGATAAGAAGTGTATTTATGTACTTAGTATATCGTGAAGCATTTTAATCTTCTTTGGGGAAAAGTGAAATGGGAGATAGGAAAAAGTATTTCACCATATGTAACTCGTGAAAGTTATGTATATCTGATTTATAGGTCGATGATATCCTAAGTTTCCAAACTTCCGAAATTTTAAACTTTCCAGTGTTGAAATCTTAGATGTTAAAAATTTCTAATTCACGAGTCATGAAATCTAAGAACACCTATGTCTCAAATCTCTAACAAGAAAAGATCATAATTTCCTAGAAAAGACCATAATAGCATCTTCGACAATACTGAAGAACATTAATCGACTATATCATTTTTCAGCCATGCATAGCTGCAGCGCAGTGCTGTTCTTAAACCACACAAACGGCTACGAAGTCGCAGAAAAACATCAAAAAGAAGGATGGACAGTTTCGAATCCACAATAAATAAAATATATTCTTGTAGTTCTCTAAATGATATTTATTTCCGATACATTTTAGAGTCTGTGAACCGTCCGAGGGACAATTCTGCAGCGATTCAGTCGCTGAGGATACAGTAAACGTTTAGTACATTACCGTTCGTATAATATCAATATTTAGACCTGCTTCTATATCGCCGAAGACCGCATTTCAACCCTTTTTTTATTCCTTTTTTCACGCATCGTTTAATCTCGGTTAAAATGCCAGAGGTACAAGAAATTTCGTCATCGTCTAACGATTAAGAAAAATTTGAATCTTCGTTCACGTATCTACGCGCGTTTTCTTTTTTTCGCACCTAGCACAAGTCACTACGGAATAGTAATAAATACTTATCATCTACTTAACGCTTTTTTTTTCTTTAAATGCATACAGTATATGTAGTAAGTTCAGAGGACAAGACGCGCGACCGCGGCCCCTGTTTCTCGCCGAGAATCCTCCATATTGGTTTTCGCTAATAAGGCGGTAACTTTTCATCGAATATTTCTTACATAGAATCCTTGCTTTCTTTCTCGTTTTTTATTCGTGTATTTTTGGTCAACTTGTTAATAATTTTGTCAAATTTACAATTTATACTCGGTGGACGCAACTAGTATCTCTCAGATACAAATACGAACAATTAAAATACTGTTTCGTGGACCAATATTTCGTTTTATCGAATGAATATATACTTTTCCTCAATTTTACGTGATTTAATTTTCATCTTGAAATCTCAAGTTCATCGATTAAAAGTATTATACAGTGAAACTCATTGCGTAACTGATTCGATCAGATTTAAATTAACAATAGTTTGCAAGTAGTTCCAGTAACTGAAGGTAACTAAAGATTCTATTCTATTCTGTCATGTGCCAATTCAATCTTCCTCGGTGAATATTTAAACAATTTATCACAGAACAAAATTTTAAGCAACCATCGCAATACAAAATATGCAATAAAAAAGAAATTTCCCAGATGAGGGTTTTGAAAGACTGTAACGTGAACGGGAGATTCATTTTGCAGACTCGTTTCTGTATCACGTTATTTTTGGTATTCAAATATTTCTGAACTCGATACGAGCTCGTTATAAACGAATATTCCTTACAAAATTATCACAATAAAGTACCATATGTTGCAACGAAATACAAGAGAAAGATACAATTGTGTTACAATTTTTCGTTTATTGTCATTCTTTGAATCTATCTTTCATCTTCATACATCGCAAATGAAAAGACATTAAGTATTTTTTTGGCAGATAGCTTTAATCACTTTGCAACATGAAAGTAAAAAACTTACACCCCAATTCTTATACAATTCTCGTATGTATGGGGTGTGTGAAAAATTTCCAAATACTTCTTTGAATATACATATGCGAATATGTATATTGCAATAATCAATATGTATAATATTATCAATTAGTTACATATTTTTACATTTTACAGTAATTATTTTAATATACTCTAAAGTTTTTCTTCTTTTCAACTTCGCGAACATTTTCTATACCTCCTGATTCTATAGTTCATAAAAGATTCAATTTTTAATAAGTATATAGATTTTAATAATCGTTCCTCGCGAGAAACAGGAGCCACTTCGCAAATTATCGACGTCGCTTGTTTCTTTAAATATATCCGTATAATACACATACTTAAGATTGTACGTTATCGTATGCTTAGCAGTATAAACATCGATTCTTCTTTCTCTCGATTTCGCTCATTTACTCTATACACATATGTACACTGACCAACGATACGATCCTCTGCGTTCTTTCGACGCGGACGCCATTACAGTTTACGCGAAAGACTGCAGAGGATCTTATAAACAAAGAGTGAAAGGCAGCTTAATGCTAGATGGATTAGAATATTAGATTGTTCTTCCCTCTTATTCTTCACCGCTGTTTCTTTTTATATTACAGATTGGCATTACACAGCGACTTGACTATTTATCTGACAATGTTGCACCGAATCGCGTTCTGCTTTTAAGGGAGCTGCAGTTAGAAAAAATTAAAACTCTATTTTCAATTTATCAAAATTAACTTTCTTGTAGTTTTGTCAATTTTACTACTGGGCCTACAAACCTATATTTTCTTGTATGATTTTATTATGAAATTCATTTCAAACTTCATTTTATGAAGTTCATTTTAAAATTAACACTTTTATGTTTTAGGAAAATAAAACCTTTCAAATAAAATTGTTTGGAAGATAAATTGAATGTTAAGTCACTCCCTTAATAGCAGTTAAATAACATATTTGGTGAAGTACCTGCAAATATTTTTAAATAAAATGAAACAAGCACAGTCAACGTGAAAAAATACATAAAACGAATGGTAAATTTATAATCACGTAGACAAATTATATTAGATTGAGCTTCTTTTCGCTGGTAAAAACGCCTCTTTGGTCTTGTGTATACAAGTAAAATAATAATATAAACTTTAATTCGCTTCCGGCGCATAAATCTCATTTAGTCGCAACACGCATACCTCTATACTCCGTCCTTATATTCTTTTCTTTGTTAAGTATACATATACATACATACATATGTATATATATACTTAATGACTAATAAATTTTTAACTTTATAATTCTATTTCACAATATGTATACATGTATGTACATGTACATATATACAAGATGTTTTGAACAAAAATGTGCACCACAAAAATTGCTGTAAATTCAAAAGAAATCGAAAAGTCCTTTACCAGTGTCAGTGTTATTGCGTTGAGTACTGCGCATGCGCCGGGCGCACGCGCGAAATTGAATCTTGTCTTGAAATGTAACATAAGATGGAATATAAGACAAGATACTATATTAATATTATTCCCTTCACTTTTTCCCAACAGAAACTTTTTTTTTTAAGTAAGAAACATTAAATATGTAAAAATTATAAAACTGTGTTAGTATATTATATTTCTAAGCTATGGTAATTAAGCAGGTCCTAGCGGAAGAGTTTAAATATTTTCGATTTCTTTTGTCACTCTTGTGAACAGTTTTCATGGCGTACATATTTTTCGACACAACCTATATATGCACTTATATACACATGTACATAGACATATGTATACAATGATATATACATACTAACAAATAATATGGCATTACAAAAATGTACATACGCTCGTAACGACGGTGATGCTTAGAAGTCGAATACGCTAATAATACTATCGGTGTCATGCAATATTTAATGTCTCACATTGTATGTCCTTATGAGGACCATTTTTTTATTAGATTGCTGCGTACTGGATGATGAATTTAGAAATATCTGACGTGATTTGGTAACATAAGGACTTATAGCAGATTAGATGAAAATTCACTGCCCGTTATAGTTAGCAGTCAGCCATTTTGTATTAAAGAAATTATGGAAAAGTTTGCATAGTTATTTTCTTGGAACTTTAATCTTCAAATTGACATATCACATGTGGTGTTTAGTGATATTTTTATGTTATAAAATCATATTACAATTGATATGTGTAAAAATTAGTCAACCATTTTCTATTAAAAATTAATAATATTAATGGAGGGTTTATATAATAATTTTCTCCAAGTTTTAAGTTAGAGATTGACAATTGATACTTCCAGGTTATAAAAACACGTCAGATGTTCCAAAACGCAGCATTTAATACGCAACAAATTTGTATGCTATAGATTTATATCTTATCACGAGAACTCCTATTATTTTTCACTTCTTTCGCCAGAAATCGGCGAGAAACATGTATAGAGTATACTCAGCGTTGGCAGTACAGAAAAGAAATGTGCGCCAGATTATTCTGAAGGACATGCGACAAATCAGAGACTGAATTATTCATCTTTCATTACTCTCATCTCACGCGTATACGGAAACGTATATATAACACACACGCACGCGTATGCTCACACTCATTCATACTCGCGAGTTTGTTCATCCTGTATCCTCGAAATTGTGCATATAATTCGATTAACTTATTCTACGTAGTAGAATCGATACACTCTAGCAGCAAGATAAACCAGTATCCGCTGTAACTCGTTACAAACGAATTACCGTGATATTCACGATGGACAATACTTTGATGATTAACACCTTGACGGTTATATACAGACTTAAATACAATTTTAACACTTATCGTTAAGTTAAACATAATCCAAGTAGAGCATAATCAATTCTTGAATCAAAAATTTCAATTTGACTTCTACATTATTGACAGTGCAAGAAGTACAAGAAATTAATTTTTTAATATAAATATTTTCTTACACAGTGCCACTTTAATTTACAAAATTAAATACCTTGATCACCAATGTATTAGAATTGTAAACGTCAAATATTTATAATTAAAATAATATGTTAACATGTCAAAATCTAACATCCGTAGTAAAATTATTATATTAAATTTTAAATTGTAATTAATACCTGATAGAAAAGAAATAAATACTTATTATGAAATGTTATAATGGACACATAAGAATAACCGTCAAGGTGTTAACATCGTATGTTCGACTACGAGAAAGCACGTGTTACAACAGTATCATAGCTTCAGCGTAGAGAAATTTGTTAGTTTAAATCCGATCCGTAATGCTAATTTAATTTATACTGAAATATATCTTATATCACATTTATTGTTTAGCATCGGCCCTGAAACATCGAACCGCGAATCGTCTCCAGTCTTCGATCTCGGCTTGTCTGGATCGATCTACATGAGAACATCGATCTACTTTCAATTTTATCTCTTTTCTTTCCTCTGGCACTCTCAACGACTTCACGCGATTTCTGGATTTCTCTGTTCGCATTTTCAAGTAAAAAAAATTTGAAACTATAGTCTGATGGAGATCAAAAATGCACCCAATAATAATTTGACTTTGCAAATGATTTCTATTTGATTCTATTATTTTGTTTGACCCTCTCGATATAGTGAATTTCAATTAAAATTATTCTGTGAAATAAACAGACATTTGTAGTTTGATCATTTTGTAAATTTGCTAATTTTACATTCTGAAGAATGTTTAATTTTGTATATCCCGATATAAATTTGTTTGTGTTTTTTTATTGCAGTAAACTATCATTGTATTTACAGAAGATGGTGTAAAAATGGCGGGAGTCTACTGTACAAGAGTCTTTTGTAAAATGTACTTTTAGGTTAAGTTCAATACTCCTAAATTTTAATCGGATGACATAGAACTCAAAAAGGAATTGACTCATCAATAAAGAAATATGAAAATTATTCAAAAAGTATCCGCAATGCATTACATAAATTTTAAAATGACAGTATAAGAAAAAAAAACAAATACACTTGTTCATCAAGTGTATGAAATAAATTTTCCCTATTAAGTTACTAAATATTCAAATTTAAATATTCTAAAAGTTCAGCATTATTGAAATTTAGAAATTTTATACACGAACGAGTATAAACTTTTTGCAAAGTCTACGACTTTTTATAAACAATGCGAATACCTCTCGACGAATTTTCTCGAAAATGCAATATCCAACAAATAAATCCACTTCTCAGAGTATGCGAAATTGTGCGTCCATAAATTTTTCACGAACGTTAGAGATGCCAAGAGGTTATTCATCGTTCATAAACGTGTGTCATAATCTTCAATCCTTCGTCTTCCTTATCCAAGACTTCCTACCAAGGCTAGCGACACTCGCGGAGCTGGCAGTACTGTAAACACTTGCCAACGAGTTCAGACTTACCGAATGTTAATCATGTAACATGTGAACGAAACTGATCGGGAACATTCCTCTTCGTTCCGGGGCCCTTTCGAGTGCACCTTCCATCCAATTGTCATCGTCGGTCTGTTCGTTCGTCACGATGATAACTTCGCCTTCACGAAAGGACAATTCGTCCTCGTTGTCTGCCTCGCAGTCGTACAACGCTTTACAACGTCGTAACCCGGTCAACATCGAAGAGGTTGGCTAAAATGGTAAACATCGCGAGAAATCAAGGTTAAGATCAGAAGCTGCGAACGCGAACGTCCATTCTTTGTCTTCCATGGTCGAAGCAAGCACTCTTTATTCGTGAGAGCATTAGGGTACGTTTACACCATAATCGCATATGCAGATTTATGAACTTCGAAAGTGGGGATAGCGTTTCGTAAAATGACCACGAACAACACTACGACGCAACAGTCAACAGTGATATATAATAACAAGCTATTTATTATTTAAATACAATTTGCTAAGAGGTTGACAGATGACACATAAGCGAGAACTTTGTTCGCGCTTCTGATTGGTCGTCGCCAGGTGGTGATTTCAGATGGCGGCAAGTTTTAAATTTACGTATAATAGTTTTGACTAATAGGCTATTTTTTTATCACTCTTTTATTACGTCATAGCACTACCCAAGCGAAAGTTTATAAACCTTTGTATACGATCATAGTTTAAATTGAACGAACAAATTCCTGCCCCATATCGGTAAAATTGAACATTCAGGAATTTTGCCGAGGTCAATGGAGAGCAAGTATTTGTACGTTTGATATAAACGAACCCTCAATCGCGAGCCGATCGCGTACGAAGAATGCCTCCTTCAGCGAGGTCAGCTCGATATTGGAAATTCTAGATGGAGAGATAGAAATAGAAGAGGAGAGTAGACGAACTTTTTCAAGACTGTATATGCAGACCGTGCACGATTAATTGAATAGTTTTTGGTTCCGAGTTTTGTTTTACTGTGATTAGTGTGTCATGCATGGGGGACTGGAATTTGACGGATTTGTGTTTTTATGTACTGGGACATTAACACATTGCGTACAGGGTTATTTTAATTTTTGTTTGGTTAACAAAGTTGTTTAGCAAATTTATTTAATGTCTAAGGTTTAATAGAAACTAAAATTAGACCAAGATTTGAAAACTTGGAAAATTTTGAAGTGTTTTTAGAAGGTTATTGTTTACTAATATCCCCTGCAGCTCCATCTATGGTAATATAACGAAAGTCTCTTATACAGGGAGGCATTAAAAATAAATGTTACAACCGTACGCAATGTGTTGTATTTATAATTGTAACTTAAAGAGGAGAGTATTGTTGTTCACTAAAAATGATAAATAACTGTAAATATCCTATAATCTATGGTACATGTATATACATAATTACAACATATGTACCTATTACCTACTATCAACTAGGAACATGAACCGTATGTACTAAATATTGTAAGTGTACTACAAATTATGTATATGATTTACTATAAAAATAATTTCGTAATAATGAATTTGCTAAAAAAATAAAATATTAAATAAATCTCTATAGTTCACTCTCTTATCTAATTACGTAAACGAATAAAAACTAGAATTTCCAATGGTACACATTAATTTCATGCCTGCAATATCCAATTTCAAGGATTAAACGTACGAAGTGGAAGATAGGCGAGGTATGGCTAATTATAATAGAAACGTTCAAATAAGTTTTCTTGTAATACACAAATGAAGATAATTTTAAACGGCGAAATAAATATTATTTGTCTGACACAGAAATATTACTGTAGTAAACAAATATTTTTCATTAATTTAATTTTTGAAATAAAAAAGAGTTGAAATTATTTACTTTGCTATGTCATTAATTATCATTTAAAAATTCTTTAATAAATACTTCGAAGAACTTTTTAAAATATTTTTTTTCATCTCTTTGTAAAGAATAAACATTTGATCATTTTTGTATTTCTGAAGCAGACAATATGGGTCGTAAATGACCCGGCCGTTCAAAGGTTAATGACAACGTAATATTAACAGCTAAAACTGTTAGGTGATATACAGGGTGTTCCATTTAAAATGAAACATGTAATTATTTCCGAAACTATTTGTTATTGAAAAATTATTTCAAGAAGCTAATTTCACTTCAATGAACTTTTCGTAATGAATAATTTTAGAAATAATCGTGTGGTCCACTTTGAAAGAAGCACTCTGTACACAAGAAACACGAACATTACTTACACGAGCATTAATTGTTCTGATTAAATGTTTTTATCATTAATTGTACAAACGTGTTATAGAAATCCAGAAAGCGAATTAATCTCGAACGAAACCAAACAAAAGGTATTACAACGAGAATGTCGACGAACCAAAAGTAAACGACAAGAAAGAAAACGTTAATGTTTATTAGAAATTATTATACCCAAAGCATTGACATGGAAGAACGATGGTTACGGACAGCACGACTGATCATGCAAAGTTTTGCTACACTTGAAACTTCGACATTACTTGTATTTCTTGTTCATTATTATTATTCAAAATAAATTATTTCCTTTTTATTTAGTCAGTTATTCATCTTGATCAAAAACTGTAAAAACAATGTATTGATTAAAAGATAAAAATTTGTATGTATACTGTTTTTACAAAAATAGATGAAAATTACAAAACTATATTTTAAGAAAAAAATCAAAATTTTTTATTTGAACTACATTTTCACATGCACTACATTATATTCCATTTGTAAAAATATCCTTGGTCAAAGCTAGAAAAAATACTTCATTTGATGTAAAATAAATCATTTTGTTTTCCATTTACATTTACAAAATATACTCACATATTTTGTCACATATATCTAAAGCACCTCAGTGACAGATCCAGGGCAATATTGTAATTGTAAAATAAAATTACTACACCTAATTTTACCACATTACACATGTTATTATGAAGTACAATCAAATTGTACCAAAAATGTACTACTGATAATGCTTCTGGATTTGTCTCTGAATAGCCCTATATATTTTAGTGGAAGAATGTTATTAAATGAACTGAAAAATGATTTCAATAACTTCCTTGATCTTGTATAAAACTACAAAAAACATTTCAAGTGTAGCAAATTGTAATGTGGGATGGCTGATGTTTACCAGATTCAGATTTGGGAGCAAAGATGAAGGCTCCTCGGCGTAGCTCTCTAGCCTGGACCGGTCCCTTCGCTGTACCAACAATGGTTAATGACAAAACCATAAAGCACTGTTTTTGAAATACATGCAATGTCTAACTGTCTCGACTTTCTCTTTTCTTTCAGTTGAAACCATATCTTTTCATTCATAGCCAATCAACGGATTTTCTGTACACTTCATTAGAATACCAACACTGTATAATTGTCATAGAGAAAGGTAGTAGACAAGTAATATTTGTTATTTGAACAGAAACAATTTGACTACTATGTAAAATCTGAAATAAACTTATGCTCTAAGTTTTAAATAACAGTGAAATATATTGTACATTGATAATCTTCAAAAGCATGAATTATTCAAAATTATTCAAATACATTTTCTTTAATTATAAATGCTTATTCAATGAAGCAATAAAAATTTTACATTAACAATTTTTGAAATTAACAATCAGTTAGCCTGTAATAATTAATTCTTAATTCATTGTTAATAGAATATTATTAAATAAGTTATTCCTTCCCCAACAGTCAACACACTTTTCAACAAAATAATGTACATATTTATTTTTGTATATTAAAATTATACAATGCTAAATCTTACTAAAGTGTACAAAGAAACCTTCTGACACTATAATTTTCACAAAGAAACTTTATTGCACCAATTGTCACTTCATAGCATTTTTATTACATAAAGATTGAAACTATAAAATGCAAATTTAGAAATGAAATAATTTTTTAATATAAATATCAGACAATTATTTCATACATCAATAATAAACTTTTCATTGACAAAATTAAAACTCTATAATTCCGATTTTGCTCCGGTTAGTTTCTGAAATGACACGAACGAATGATTTATGCAACATAGGAATAGTGAATGTGCAATGTATCATTGCAAAGGTCTAACAACGATGAAATATGACGAAAACATGATGATCCATAATTTGATGAATGCATAAGAATATTAAATCACAGATAACATGTGATTAACATGGTGTATACAAAATATTAAAATGTCTCTAAAAAAAAAAACACAAAAAAGAATCAACGATAAACTATTTGTTAACTACTACGTGGGATACAGTGATGGGATTAACATCGTGTTAGTCAACATTTCTGATAGTTAGTATGTATGTTAGATGAACGATTGTTACTCGAAATGGATGTATATACATACACATACGTGGCGTTTATGGTGATGTTAGATATCTACTGCCCCGATGACTGATATGTGCCAAAAAAAGTTCCAAATAAAACATTCGCTTCAAAGTGTAACAATGTTTAACCCTTTCGAAATGCGTATACGAAAGCAATGTAAATACATAATCGTTTCTCGATTTCTTTGATTCAGAATCTTAGGTTGAGTAATGACTTCATTCAGAATTTATCCTAAGTTATAGAGAAACAGTTGTGAAAAACTGTCTACTATTATTATAAAAGATAAAGATTCTATTTAAATATCCAAATGAGATTACTCAACCTAGTATGTGCAGGATCATTTAAAAAGACGATTGTCATTTTAAGTGTGCATAACTGTTCCATTAAAATTCATGTAAATTATACCAACTACCTGACTTATAATTAAATCCATTAAAAATAAACATTTTCATTTTTTCTTCTTCGTACCATAGTTATATAAGTAGAAAATTGTATTATGTAAATTTAAATCTTTCACAATACTCATAATATATATCTAAAATTATGTAAATAAAGATGATTATATATTGTGTATTGGTGTAACTTACATTTGTCAAGTATTTAAAGAATTATGTTATATCTCAACAACCCTGTACGTTAGAAACAGTTCTATACTTTTATCATTACTCTATCTCGTGTAAATATTCATAATATTGTTGTAACTTACCTTGCGTGGAGGTGGGATAGGATTACCCAGGCCGTGATCCGAGCACATGGAACTTAACGACTCGCTGCTACGTCCATTGCTCAGTCTGGATGAGTTGATACCCGATGGAGCAGGTGGCGGTGGATTCCTTGGTCTCTGGAGCGTTGAACTGTTCACCTTGTCTGTGCCTAACGAACAGACAAAGTTGAATAAAGATCGTAAACAAGACGGATTGGATTGTTCAAAGTTTATTCGAATCGGGCGGACAGTTTATAGAGAAGAAGAAGTTTGTGTGAATTTTCAAACGCACCGTGTCCCGTTGAAGAATCTCCACTGGGCGATCTTTTATGATGTTGACTGTTTAATGTATTTAACGCATGTGGTAGAGTGTGTAAAGAATGCCCAGCTAAGATCGGTTCACTCGTTGTACGGCTATGCGTTGACGCTGCTAAGGACGCGGACGAAGGTAGTGTACCATAATGAGAGGAGGATATACCACCTGTACTTCCGGCCGGTGGTGGTGGAGGTGCTACGCGTTTCTTCAATGACCCGTGCATATTGACTGAAATATCTGGCGCCATGGGTGCAGGTACTGAAACACAAACATCACTCTAATGAGTAATCAAACATCTACACGTGCTGCTTCTTAACAAACACTTTCTTTCAAGTACTCTTTCTTTTTATTGTCACTGCCATGTTTGAAACATTTAATGTTAAACTCATAACACATACCAGCAACAGGTTTCCTCGACTGCGGAGGTGGTGGTGGAGGCATCTGTTGTCTATTCGTTGAGGAACTCGGTGAAGAACCACTTTGCAAGCTGTCACAAGTGCTACTTCGACTGCGTAATGTCACTGGTGAGTCTCCTGACCCAGCACCACCACCACTACCACCGCCACCAACATACGAAGGTGGTCTACTACGAGATTTTTTCTCGGGTGTTAAGCATCCGTTCTAGAATTAAACAAAATGAAATAAATTATAAACAAATAGTTAAAATAGATTACGATACTTTTATTATCGTCAGTTCAACATACCCTGTCCTCTATTATTGTTTCATCGTCAGAGAAATCGGTAGAGCCTTCATCGTGCGAAAGATTCCAGTCGATGTTCACGTTGTCGAACAATGTTTTTTGTCTTTGTAAAGCGTGACTTAACTAAGAATGTATGGAAATACGAATGTTATTAAAGTTTATGTACTGTTTAACATGAAATTATTATATTAAATGTCTACAAATTTCTGCCATTACAAATAACTGATATTACGTAGTAAAACTATAACAAATATAAAATACATTTCATCTGCAACAACTCATAATGGTTATATAATCCCTTACCAGTTCTTTACAAGTATGATGACCCATTTCTTGTGCAATGTCCAACGGTGTTTTATCTTGCTTATTTCGATGTGTTGGGTCAGCACCTGCCCGTAGTAATAATTTCATTGCTTCTGCCCTGTCGTGCCTCGCACAAAGATGTAACGCTGTTTCACCATCAATGGTAGTTCTGTCTATACCACCTGTCGACATATTTTGCACAAGAAAATCGACGATGTGCAAACTGTTTCCCATTTCTCGCAAAATAGCTAAATGTAACGCCGTTTCGCCTACGTCCTGTAAAGAAGAGACATAGTTTAAATAAAAATAAACGCATTGGAAATGTCTTTTTTTATCTACTACATCTTCAAGACTATAAGTACTGATATGATCGTAAATAGTTAATCTTACCGATGTCGGCAAAGGTGCTGCCAGATCCACGTTTTCAGCATAAACTTGCAGAAGTTGCTGCAAATCACGATTATTAACAGCGTGCTCTAAATCAGAGAGGAGATCCCGTTCATCCGCGCATGTATTCATCACGTATCTTTTATCCACGTATTTTGCCCTTATAAAGTCGTATCTTTCTTCCCTGTATAATTCAGAGAACAATCAAATTAATTTTCCTATATATCCTGATAATGTATTAACACTAGAGTATGAATAATTTTACATACATCGTTGACGTAGGCGTTGGTTTGTGATTATGATGTAACGTTGCTTCCATTACTTCGTTAAACGCTTGGTTAGTCATGTTCCGTGCAAGAAGTAGCTGAGCAGTACCCACATTGTCCAATGTCAAGGATTGTATTCGCGATATGTGCACTCCCAAATCTCGATGAATTCCACTACATTCTATGCACACGATTATACCGAAATTCGTAGAAAGCCACGTGGCATCTGTCAAACAAAAATGATGTATTTATTGAAAGTTCACTCATAAGCTACACAGCTTATGTAAAGGAAACATTCCACCTAATAAGCAAAAATTGACATCTTTACCATTTTGCGAGGAGCAATCACAGCACTGATCGTTTCCGGGTAACCTCATGACACAACGAATTACAGCCTGTTGAAGTTCGACTAAACTTGGATTTCCGCTCCCAGCTTCCGCTTTTCCGCTGGCGTCAAATGCTCGGAGCAGCGCACGTTCCTTACAGTTGACCAAAACAGACATCCACGCTCGTTGGTCTGCTTCGTCTTCTGCTTGGAAGTGGTAGGTTCTGTTGTCTGCAGATAAATGAATTTACATTTATTATAAAACTACTTTCTCGCTCACTAGCTAAAAATATATAAAAAATCTTGCACTAAGAAATCAGTATAATGCAACTGGAATATGCAAGATGTTGAAAATGTGAACAACTTAATAGTAAACGAGCTTTGCAGCGAATAGTACCAGAACTTACAACTAATGAGATCAAAGCCCCGTTTGTCATCTGGAACTAGCTTGATTTGACAGGTCAACAGATTCACCCGAGTAGGTGGTTTATTTTCATCCGCGTGACAGATATCTAGATAACCTTCTGCTTGAACTGCGCACCTCCGTTTCTGCCATACTCTCCTCATTTTTCCCTCGCTTTTTTTTAACAGATGCCCTGATCGAGTAACACCATGCTGTTTATCCCCTTGTAACTGGTGAAGCGAATAGCCTGCATTCGCGTTTACATTTAACTAAAAGATACACAATTATGAATATTATTATCGCATTAAACGATATGACAATCATAAAGTGTGGTTTTTGAGTCACGTCACTGTGAAGTAAATGAGTAATATATAATCAAAGTTTGCTTTTACCTCTTTATCGCAACCTGAGCTTCTCAACAGATTTCTGAGTTCCGTTAAACGTCTTCTTTCTTCGTCTTGTGTTTGCCTAATTTTTTGTAATTTCACGCTGAGATCCGCCACGTATGAACCAAAATGTTCAATAGTTTTTAGGCCGTCTTGAAAATAACTGCAAAGATTTGACAATTATTAACCCACTTATTAATAACTAAAATGTTCATTGCTACTCTATGATAGACATTTGATTTGTTTTTAACTAATTAACTTACTTGGTTTGTGCGTGATAATACTCGACTAGATGCTGAAGCAATTCAATTCCTTTCTTCGTCTTAATTTCATTTACTTTTATGAGGTACTGCAAAAAGAAAACATATACTGAAAACTCCCTCGCTAAGTATTAAAATAGCACCATGTGAGTCGGGTGCAACTAACAAAATGACAATGTACAATTAATTGTGAAAATCTTAAAATATACAATGTCTGTTGACTCGAGGTTTCCATAATACATAGCAATATAAGATACAATGCATAGTCATAATCCTCTTCTTAGAAAGCTCCGTGAATATTTTAAAGCGATTCGCAATAATCGTACAACGATAAACGCTTTAGAGAAAAGGTTGAACAAACAAACGAATATGAGGATCACTGTTGTTCGTTCCAGATGCTTTGCTTAGAGCCTCACCTCGCACATTTGCAATTGAAACAATCTTCTCTCCTTCTCCATCTCATCAGCAATCTCGGCGGGCGTGATTTCCGTCCGAATGAGGCCAGCCTCTTTCGCGTGTTGTTTCTTCTCCTTCTCGATTTTCGCGTATTTAGCCTCGTAATCCTTCCACGCCTTCTCAAACGGCCTCTTCAAGTCACCTTTCACACCTCTCAGGTCTCCCTTCAGCACGGAGTCCAGAGGGAACATCACGATGTTGTTGATGTTCTGCATCTGTTTACAAACGTGCTAATTAGAGAACGGAACTGTTTAGATAAGAAATGTGGTCCATTCATATTTGGACATTAAACACTAACTGTAGCAATCAACTGGAATGTTATACTTGAGGAGTTATAAATAGGAATCGGTGCAAAGTTGCAGAGTTAGGAAGATGCAGACTCGAATGTTCAGAGGTAGAAATTTTGATCATTGCAAGATTCTTCATTCTCAAGTTTGCAAATGAAATATTAGATTTAAAAGTGAAGACTTAGAATGAAATTAATTTATAAGTTGTAGTAGAGTGGAAGGTTAAATCAAAGGTGTATTATTCGTACACACCAAAGTCTTCATCAGAGCACTCAGTTCCTTTGTGACGACCGCGAACTTCAAGAACGCAGCACCGATATCCGGTTCCTGTTCTTTCAAGGCGGCATCTCCCAGCCTTTCCAGCGCCCTTCCAAGGTATACTTCATTATCGACGTGCGCTGCAAATTAAAATAAATAAAAATTCAACTTCTGAATCGAGTAACCTAGTTAACTCGTATTACCAGCTGAAGCGAATACAGCTGGTTTAATACTTAATAAATTGAAACTTTAAGAATCGGAGAACTTTTGGAAAATTAGAAATTCAGGAATCTGCTGTCTTTTTCCCGCACCGTGAAAGCGGAGAAAACTCTTCCCGTTATTCGCGTGCAGAATAAATCTCGCGTTAACGGCGTTCAAGAAAGTAAGAGGGAAAAATCAGAAAGTTTCATTCGATGAAAAATTGTTCATCGATGCTCACCGTTTCCAGAGTTGTGAATAGCTTTGATCGCTTTCTTCAGCTTCGTCAGGCCATCTCTGTCGAAGTCCAGAGTCTGCAACGAATACGTATAATTTTCAGTGAATTTTCTGTGTTCATTAATTATTACATTGATATGTGTTACACGTTACGGGACACGTGTGTAGAAGTGAAAGGAGACGTCCACTTCCGCTTTATGATACTCGAATAAAGCCGTTTCCGATTCACGTACTTATATTGCACTGTTTCGCGTTAAGAATATATTAAGAACCATTAATCATGAAGTTTATGCGTGTAATGTACAAATTAAGTTTCCTTTATTCGTTGGCTGCATATCAGTTGATTACTTATAAAACGTTTGTTATTAAAATAGAGTTTAGATAAAAGATTGTTTAAAGTTCTAACGTTAGAGTTATATTAATTGCTTGCTTTTTTCCATCTTTATAATCGAATGAAAATAGTTCATCGTTAAGAATTCTCCATTGTACGAGACACGAATTTTCTCGCGATTTCTCTTAATTAAACACTATCTTCCCTGTATAGCGTATGTAATATGTACACTCGGGTGTAACGTAACCTTCCTTGAGAAAATAAGCAGAACTTAGAAATTTGGAAATGTACAAAATTGAAGATATAAAAATACAAGAACGTTCGGGGTACACCACTTAACTGTATTATTAATTGAGCAGGTGTTATTAATTGACCTAGAAAGATCTCAAAACGATTTCACATAAAGGAATCTCATTTTCTGACTGGCACTTGCTTTCAATAATTTCAATTAATAAAATGCTGCATTAAAATGTGAAACACATTGTAACCTTCGCACTACTCAGAATGTTAGGACTGATAACATTGAATAAACCTAACCTAACCATAACCCAACCTAACTTAATTTAGTCTCACACTGAATACTCCACTTTACTCAGAGTATTGAGGCTGATAATATTAAATAGCCATAACCTAATATAACTTGATTTAATTTATCATAATCTTCCATTGAAACTTTCACACTACTCAAAGTGCTAATACTGATAACATTGAATAAACCTAACCTGACCAAAACCCAACGTAACCTAATTTAGCAGAGCCTCACACTGAACCCTCTACTTTACTCAAAGTATTGAGGCTGATAATATTAAATAGCCATAACCTAATATAACTTGATTTAATTTATCATAATCTTCCATTGAAACTTTCACACTACTCAAAGTGCTAATACTGATAACATTGAATAAACCTAACCTGACCAAAACCCAACCTAATCTAATTTAGCAGCGCTTCCTATTGTACCTTCACTTTACTCAAAGTGTTGACACTGATAATATTGAGTAAACCTAATCTAACCGTAACCCAACGTAACCTAATTTAGCAGAGCCTCCCACTAAACCTCCACATTACTCAGAGTGTTGTCATTGATAACTAAACCTAACCTAACCAAAACCCAACTTAACCTAATTTATCAGAGCCTCTCATTGAACCCTCCATATCACTCAGAGTATTGACACTGATAATATTAAATAACTCAACCATAACATAACCTAACCTCTTCTGACTCAGCAGAACCTCCCAATGAATCCTCCACTTCTCTCAGAGTGTTGACACCAATAATACTAAATAAACAAACATACACAAACATGCACGAATCTGACGAAATAAAAGCAACGTAAACATTCAACCAGCAATAAGTAGAGCGTGCTAAATATGAAAGAAAAAACGGAAACGAAATCAGGATTTTTATCCCCCGGTCGTATATATATCCGTGCGACCGATATCGGAACCGGATTCACCGTTGAAAACAACCACGAGGGTCCGCACGAATACAAATTTCCGGAAGGAACAATTGTCTGACAAACAACTGCCACATCAGCGTAACGTGCTCAACGACGCGTCGTGATGTATCTTGGCGCGATCACCTGATTGTTCGAAAAAAGAAAAGAAAAATGAGACCCCTAGAACCCGTTACTTACGCGATACACGCGCATGTAAGTTCTTCTTCGCCATTGTACGGCAACTTATCAAGCTGTCTGATACTTATCACCGTATCTCGTGTCGGCGCTCATTCAATTCAGCATTTACCAACGTTTAATTACGAGTCTAACCCTTGCGGAATATGCAGTGCTATTGTGAGCTGCGAGGGGGATTGCGATTACACGTGATGGGGATAGCACTTGCACGTGTCATGTGGGACGCGGAATTTGGAGATTTGGAAATTGGGGAGAATTTGAGTGTTTGAGAATTTGAGAACGATAGAACTTTTGGGATGTACGAACTTAGAATTTGAGAATTTGAGACTATGAAATTAGGAGAATTCAAAATTGAGACTTTGAGAATTTGAGAATTTGGGAATTTAAGTCTTTGAGACTCTGAGAGTTTCAATCTATGAGAGTTTGAGTCTTTGAGAGTTTGGAGTCCTTGAGAGTTTGAGTCTTTGAGAGTTTGAAATCCTTGAGAGTTTGAGTATTCGAGAGTTTAAGCCTTCAAGAGCTTGAGTCCTTGAGAGTTTGAGCCTTTGAAAGTTTGGAGTCTTTGAGAGTTTGAGTCCTTGAGAGTTTGAGCCTTTGAGAGTGTTGAGTCTTTGAGAGTTTAAGCCTTTGAGAGCTCGAGTCCTTGAGAGTTTGAGCCATTGAGAGTTTTGAGTCTTTGAGAGATTGAACCCTTGAGAGTTTGAGCCTTTGAGAGTGTTGAGTCTTTGAGAATTTGGGCCTTTGAGAGATTGAACCCTTGAGAGGTTGGAGTCTTTGAAAGTTTGAGTATTTGAGAGTTTGAGCCTTTGAAAACTTGAGTCCTTGAGAGTTTTGAGTCTTTGAGAGTTTGAGCCTATGGAACTTTGAGCTTCTGAGAGTTTGAGTATTTGAGAATTTAGAAACTTAAGAATTTAAAACTGAAAGTTTGAGAATTTAAAAACTTCTCAAATTTGACCCTTTGAGAATTTAAAAGTTTGAGCAATATTAATATAAAAATTCTCAAATTCTGAAAATTCTGAGAGTTCCAAATTCACGAAATATACCTACATGCACAAGGTACAATATCAAGCTACAAGGTACAGTAACCCCAAATGAAATTATCCTTAATATAAAGGACAACACACAATTGTCGGGGGTTCCTTTATCTCCATTTTCCTCCGCGAAATTGTCAATAATCCACCTAAATGGTCAATTCACGAGCTCTCAGTTAATAAAGCAACGACCCCAAGAAACTGACAATGGGTCAGTAAAAACAAAAGCAATGAATACTAAAGTTGGCAGAAAATTTGTAACTAACCGAGTCCGATCGGGAATAATGGAATTTATTCAACTGAAGCTGAACAGAGTTGTCGATACACAAACGATTGAATCAACAGACTTCCCTAGCTAGTGTATTATCTTCGAGTTGCTGTTTGCCAAATGGACACGTCACATAGGGTGTATGTACGTACATGGAAAGTTAGAATAGAGGTGTTCGGATCGATGAACGTCTCTATTGTTCGCACAATACCACCCGCGACTGCTATGAGAACTGTATCGTGGAACGAATTGAATAAAATGAGAGTACGAAATGACAGAAATTCAATGACTCTGTTACTGCGGGTGCAATGAATCCTGGTAGGCTTCTTCGAACACAAAAAAGAGAAATCGTATTGTTTTCATTAGTGACAGTAATGACCTGAAAATGGTTATTGAACGTTATGATATGAATGTAATTGAAAATTTTTATATAATTGAGTATAATTGAAACTATGATATAATTGAACGTAGTTTAACATTTTTATATAATTGAATATAATTGAACATTTTTATATAATTGAATATAATTGAAATTATAATATAATTGAACGTAAATGAACATTTTTATATAATTGAATATAACTGAAATTATAATATAATTGAATGTAATTGGAAATTTTTATATAATTGAATATAATTGAAATTATGCTATAATTGAATGTAACTGAAAATTTTTATATAATTGAATATAATTGACAACTGAGGTATAATTGAATATAATTGAAAATTACAATGTAATTAAATATAATCGAAAATTTAATATTACTTTTTTTATTATCATTTTAATAATTCCGCACCAAATGGAAGAAAATAAACGTCAATATTTGTCTGTCGTCACGTTTCAAGTTTTATATTTAACTCCTTATCGCACTTTCGTTTTCACCGAATAAATACATGTATTTAATGAAAAGATATTATCTTTACAATATAAATATTGACAATGTTGAATTAAATAATGTTTTTACCACTTTCACTATTATTTACATATTATTATATGCATATTATGTATCACATAATTATGCACAGTGCGTGTGATATAATTATACATCTAATTACACATATGCATATCACGTATGATATAATTATACGCGTAATTATGCACATGCACATTGCGTACAACATAATTATACATATGCATATTACGCATGATATAATTATACGCATGATTGTACACATGTAACATATACACATAGCATATAACATACACACATAACATATATAATATAATTGTACTCAACCTATATTACTAGCTTAAGGTACCTGCCAGATATGCTCAGAATTAGAGAGCCTCTAATCAGAATCCCGAAATAACGGTATCGATTCCGCCCGGTGGCACAAATTAAATTTCACTGAAACTTCCTTGAAAAATGCCGTAATTGACCTAACCTGACCACTTCGAGGCTCTGATTAGAGGGTCCGGAAAATAGGACACTTTTGAACGAGCCTGTAACCCGGCCGAAGTCCGAGAATTAAGGCGACACACTTATGGCGGGCATGCAACAAACACTGACACGAAAAAGCAGATGAATCACCGAAGAATCGTCGAGGGACCAGAATCGAGCACACCTTAGTCCGCGAAACCAGCTCCATCGGCTTCTCTCTGTTTCTCTCTGGCTTACGTGACAACCAGGTGAGACTACTAAGAACGAAAGGAATTCCTCTTGGCCGTACGACCTTGGTAGGTCGTTCGTATCCAAGTCGTTTACCTGGACCGATTTGCAAACGTTCAGCAGGGGATCGCGGTGATGCTGTCTCAACATGGCAGCCTCAGGCTTCACTGAATCATGAGACCAAAGAAATACGATTCTGCGTG